CTGGCTATAATTTTTATTTCACCTTCATAATCGGGATCAATTACCCCAGGACTTATCATAAGTCCTTTTAGAGTAGAAGAGCTGCGTCCCAATAATAAGCCTACTGTTCCTTTGGGAAGAGGTCCTTTCACCCCTGTGGGAATGATTTGAACTCCCATCTCTGGAGTTAGTACTGCTCTGGCGGAGGCGCAGATGTCCAACCCTGCACTCCCTCTGGTTTGTCTGATGAGGGATCTGATGGACAATGTGTCCTGGGCACTACCCTGATGGTGTTGCTGGGTTCCTCCAGTGCTCCGTATATTTGTGGTTTTGGGCCACGGAGCATTGGGCCCCCCCTGTCCATTTTTTGGCAATGGAGCCCGATGCCTTTCTCCACGATATCGTGGATAAACACCTGGTCCTTGTTCGTTTTTTGACAATGGAGTACCCTCTATGGTGGTTTGAGAACGGCATTCATTAGCCCAATGTCTCCCTCTACGGCATCGTGGGCAAATACCTGGTATTCTACTCCTTTGATATCTAGTTTTGTTAAACCCTCCTCCAATGGGGCAATTCCTTTTAAAATGTCCTGTTTGTTCACAATTGTAGCATGTTCTTGGCCTGGCATCTAAAGCCTGTTTTACTGCAGCTGCCACAATTTGCCCTTGTTCATTAATGTCTCTGGCATCTAAAGCCTGTTTTACTGCAGCTGCCACGACTTGCTCTTGTTCATTAATGTCTCTACATAATTTAATATATGTGTTTAAATCTTCATGTTTCCATGGTCTAATGATATCTCTGCACCAACGATTCGCTTGCTCATAAGCCAGGTGTTTTAGTAATGGCATTGCTTGTTCTGTATTCCCAAAAACTCTGGTAGCTGTTTGAATAAGCCTATCTACAAATTCAGCATAAGGTTCATTAGCTCCTTGTATTACCTTAGATAATTGACCTTGTAAACCTCCATGTCCTTGTAAAGTCTTCCATGCCTTAATTGCATCTACAGCAATTTGTGCATATACACCAGGATCATATGCAATTTGTTGCTGCTGATCCTCATAAGGTCCCTTTCCTAACAACATATCTAGATTTCTCTGAGGATAACCAGCTGCTGCATTTCGCCTAGCCGTCTCCTTGCAAAATTCCTCATTGGCAACCTTCCATAACAGGTATTGTCCTCCATTTAGCACAGCTTTACACATATTAGCCCAATCTGCTGGCATCATGTTCAAGTTGTTAATGGATTCGACCATGCTTACAGTGAAGGGTGCTTGAGGACCATAGGTTGTTACAGCCTCTTTTAGCTGCTTCACTGTTTTGAAATTTAAAACTTGGTAAAATCGCTGCCCTCCTGCCTCAAATACAGGGCATGTTAATATTTGAGATCTTGTCTCAGGATCCCAACTATCAACTGCGGGGGTTGGGGACCTCCCAGCATATGGATGTGGCCTTGTTAGTTGGACACTTACACCCTCTGGTGATAGAAAGGTGTTAGTAGCAGTCTCCTGTTGTAACTTTCCCCCTGATGGCTTTTTCTGTTTTACACTTTCTTTCTCTGTCTGACTAGCTTGAGAGGCCTTCTCTTTTACTTGAATCTTTTCCTCTGTCTGACTAACTTGAGAGACCTTCTCTTTTACTTGAATCATTATGTCTTCTTCTTCCTCTACCATTGTCTGAACTGAAGGCTTTGGACTAAGCAAACAAGATATGAACGTCCACAATGGCAATGTGCCAACTGGCAGAGTCCCTGGGCTTTTCTTTTCTATTCTTTTTAAATCTTCACCATGATGGTTCCATTGTGATATATTTAACAACTCCTCCTTAAAAAGCCATGGGCTACATTTTTGTATTGTATCAACGTATGCCCTGATTGTTCTTGATTTTACTGAGATGCCTCCTTACCAGAATTCAATGTGCTTACAGTATCAACCTTGAAGGAACCTGGTTCTGGTGAGAGCACCTCCAGAGAACTTGCATTTGAACTTCTGCTCCCAGGACGTGTTCTTGAATTTGAGGCTGGTTTTGAAATCCCATCTAGGTTTCCCTTTATAATATCCATTGGTATCCTGATCATTCTGATTTTCAAGTCTTGGAGAAAAGCTGGGAATTATTGGGCGGACTACAGCTAGTTCTTGGAGTTTTTTATGAATTTCAGCAAGCTGCTGATGCTGGGTGGCTGCAAATGTGTATCCTTCTCCTGGGACCAGCCAATCAGACTGATCACCCTCAGAACTGGACAGTCCCGAATCTCCATCATCTAAGTCCTTCAAAAGTTCAGCCAGTCTTTGCTTCTCTCTGTCAATCATAACCACTGGGTTTCTTGAATTCTTAGCCAACTCAATGTTTCGCTTAACAAAATCGTGGTTGTGTTTACCCCTGAGCTCAAATTTTTCTGTATTTGAGAAAGGTTTCTTTTCTGCTTTGATCAATGACTCATTTCTTTCCACATCATAGGTAAAATCTTGATTGGCATTTTGCATATGGTTTTCATATTCTTCTGGAGATATCTGAGTGTGAAACACTGGGAAAAAGGTATCTTCATCCTCACGATGAGAAAGATCAATAGTTTCTTCAGATGCAGCAGTCAAAGATAAAAATTTCTTTGTATTTTCCATCTCCTCATTACTTTGCAAAGCTTCACTATTTTTTGCAGACTTAAGTTCTTCCCACAACTTTATTCTCATTTCTAGACCTTGCTTCTTAATTTCTTTTTCTCTGTATTGTTTTTTTGCCAATATTTTATCAAGTCTGTTCATTTTATAAATAGCATCTTGAAGTTGAGAGTCTACTTCTTTTAATTTGGTTTCATCTGAACATTCAGGGGTCATCTGATGTTGAATCAAGTCCAGATCTTCAACTGGCCCCTGTTTAGCCAGTTTTATTTTCTCAGAGTAGTTTGCCCCTTTATCATCATTATTATATCTTCCTTCCTCTGTATTACTGCTTTCTGAGTGCTGCCAGCAGTTGACCAAGTTCTAGTTAGTGAGATGGAAACAAATGTAATGTGGTAGCTACAGGAGCCTTCCTTGTCAACCCTTTCTTTGTACTCTTCAACTTCATTGCTTCTTCAGTTGTTCTTCAGGATTAGAGTGCAGATATCTTGAATCATGAGTTGAGGCTATGATCAATAGCACAAGAGACACCTGAAGCACCACAAAGCCCTGAATTGCCTTTTCTGTCTTTTACATATTAGAAAAGCAGGAAGAAGGAAAGGCAGAGAAGGGAGGAAAGCTGGGAGGATAAGGGGTAAGGGGAGAGGAGGTAAAGAGAGAACTGGGAAAGGAGGGAAAAAGAATGCAAGGAATAGAAAAAGCGGGGGAGAGGAGGACGAGGAGGAAGGACAGAAGAGAGGGAGGAAGGGAAAGACAAAAAAGAAGGGGTGAAAAGAGGGAAAGGGAAGAGGAAAAGGTACAGGAAAGATGGCAGGAGCAGAGAGATTATGTGGGAAATTATCATGATGTATTCTGGTACAAGTTACAGAAAACTAATTGAAAAGGTAATGTGTTTATCTCAGTTCTTAGAACAAGCTCAGGCATAGTAAGGAACACAGTAGACTTTGGCTTCACACAATGGCTACTATAGTTTCAGTTATGTTTATAGACAACATCATTTCAAAAGAAGAGGGACCATCTCCTATGTCTTTTTTTTTTTTTAAGGTACCGAGGATTGAATCTAGGGTCTTGTACTAGCTGATGAACTTCATCCCCAGCCCCTTTTATTTTTTTGATAGAGGGTGTTGCTAAATTGGTGAGGCCGGCTTCAAATTTACAATCCTGAGCCTCCAAAGTAGCTGGGATTATAAGCATGTATCACTGCATTGAGTTCCTATGACTCTTTCTTCCTACTTTTTTTTGGTGTGTGTGTATGTATGTGGCAATCTTTCTTGAATGTGATGAACTGTTTTCTAGAAACCCTCTAGTCCAGCATCACTAACCAAAACTAGATTATTTACCCATTACCGAAGCAATCACAGGCAAAGAAATAGGATTACCATGAACAAGAAATCATTCACACTATGCCAGATCTACCTCTGGAACTGGGCATGAGATCACCTTCTCTTGAGTCACAAAAGGAAGAGACAGACACCAAACTACTTATGTTTATTACACAATACTAGGAGGCCTAGTGATTGTCATCTGTAAAGTGATTATGACAGATTTCCAGCAGATGGCAGTAAAGTGCTTGGGGAAAGGGCACATATTTCAGATTTACACAAAGTGAAAGCAATCCAACAAAAAATGGTCAGTCTTCCTTATCTGTGGTTTCTGCATCCATAGATTGAATCAACCACAAATCAAAAATATTTTGACCTGAACACGTTTTCTTATACTGTATTGTTTAGGGAATAATGATAACTACTACTTATATAACATTTATACTGTATTAGTTATCATAACTAATTTAGAGATGATTTAAAGTTTATGGGAAAATGTGTATAGCTTATATGTAAATATTATCCATTATGCGAGACCTTAAATTAGGGTCTTGGATTTTGATATGGAGGCAGAGAGTGCCCTGGAACCAATCTATCTTGGATATGAAGGAAAATGGAATTATGCCGCAGTCTGGCTGGGCACAAATCACGAGCCACTGAAGCAGGAACAAACTTTATTTTTGAACTGCAGGAAAACACTTCACACAGCTCCCGGGGAATCCTCCCAACGCCACGCGGCTCGTCCAGGAACCCCCAGCCGGAAATATCTCTCCCGGAAATCCC